TTAATTTTGATAACATAATTTGGTTTTAAAATGTTTACACGAGTATGAGGCATGTGAATAGCAGTAGATTCTATATTTCTTTAACTGGTACAATTAAATATGCAATGTTTGATGGTTTTCTTTATGTGGCTTCATCTGCATACATTGTCCAAATCAGAAGTTCGCTCATTAACTACCACCAGAAAGATATTATGATAGCAGAATTCATTTTTCTCAACAATTCCATTTAAAATAATCACTGTCTGCATTGAATTGAATGATACACAAATAAATGTCATGTACATATTAAGTAAAGTTTCTACTATCTGTTATTGTGGTGTATGGACTTTTAAAATTACAAGTTATAGGACATAAGGTAGGTAGTTTCTATAAGTTTAACTGTGGATTCTTAATGATTGTGTAAGTAAATTTTAATTGGAAATACTTGTTAATTTCAATAACCTAATTCGCTTTAGTTTTGTGTTCACAAGTATGGGCATGAAAGTGATGTTGATCCGCTGATTTTTGTACAAGTGAATACTGATTATGTTTGATTTGATGCTTTCTTTTTTGATTACTTCTTTATATTTGTCCTTTACCTAAGGTAAAATCCATAACACTGCTATCATAAAAATATTATTTTGGATAAACTAACTTTTGCTCAAATTATTCTATTGTTTTGTATGGCAAGGGTAATGTTTGATATTTGTACACTAGTTATATAATTATTGGAGCATTAATATCATTAACCTGATCAAATAAATTGTTGGCTTTAATATTTTATTAGATTTATCTGATTTCAAAATTAAGGTTAAAATAAATTATTAATTGGATTTTAAAATTTGAACGTGAATGTGAATACTTTATTTAGTCAATTTGTTTTTTTTTCCAAATAATAATAAAAATTTGTTGTTTGATATAAGTTAAGTTCATTATGCGTTTGTCACTATATAACATTATAATTTATAAATCTAAAAACGTGGAAAACATGAGATCTCTTTTATTATAATTGATAATATGGTGTCTCGGTGTTACTTCATACAACATTCCAAACATTCGCGTCTTAGATGATATATTATCAAAGATTTATGTTATCATTCGTGTTATCATTAAGGATTATCACTGATAATGCATATAATATTAATATGGTTTTAAAATCGATTTTCTGGAAGTTTTGCTTAGAGTAATATATTTTGCTGTACTTGTGTGATGTGTTTGAACAATGTTACTGTTGTTAAAAAAAATTTGAATTTTCAGTGCTCTTTGTATCCGTTTTAAGGGGTACCTCTGTTTTTATATTTTTTATTCAGCACTATCGAGAGTTTCGATAATCGTTTTTTCTGGTCGATTGTATATAGACGTCAGACTAGCTGTCTTGAATTCGCGCGTAGCTGCGTGTTATGGCAGGTTTGTTATAAACGAACCGTCAATGCTCGGTTGCCTGTCGCAACTCGTTATGGTCTTTATTGCGTCATTTTGTTAAAATTGTACCTCATTATAATATTGCTATTGTATCCGGTGAACTATATTCATTACGAACAGCTTTTACTACAATTTTGGTTGTCGGCGGTTTTTCACGGTGAGTCCTTTTTATATTAATTATTATACTGTCAAGTCTTAAATCTCAAATTTCAAAAAGAATATTAATAAATTTGACAAAATGTATCGAGACTTCGAGTTTTGAAATCTGGCTATACGTTAAAATTAAGAAATACTTACATTTCGTTTTAAATTATTTTATGTGTTCAAAACAAAAAATAATATTATTTCATTGTTTTACACAAAATTATCAAAGAACCTTTAATATTTTTGGAAATCTTAAGAGTAGTAAAGCAAATGTATGTGATAATGAACTTAATTGTTAGACTTATGTCATTAATTAATAAAACCCATAATTATATTTATGCTCGTATCTATGTATTATATTCAAGCATAATTATTTCTGCATTAATATTGCATTGTTTTATATTTGTATATATACAAATAAATATCATCATTTACACAGGATGTAGCTCATTTTATTTTGTATAGTAAACACATTGATTACTATCCTTGATTAATAAATTACTTATGTATTAAAAGTGAATAAATGTACAGAAGTTTAAGAGGTAATTTTATTGTGAGGAGATTGTTTATAATATTATAATGTGTATGATGTATATTAGTATCATAATTTGTACTTTAGTGATTTAAATGAAGCTGCGACCTCTTAATTGACTAAATACGCACATATGATATGAACTATGAAGTTCAATAAATGGATGAATACTTCACTGAAGTCTAAATAAATGCTTATTCACACTTCATCTTTGCTTGTTGTAAACATTTTAATTTACAGATTTTAAGATCTATATTATATATATGATAAAGTAAATTTAAGTAGTAATTTACCAAGAGTTATTTATTGGTATAAATAAATTTAATTAAATTGTGTTAGTAAAATGTTTGAGCCAAAAGTAAAAAAATTCAGCAGATTTTGAACAAATTTCAATTTGTGTTTTTCAATGACTTATATAAACTAATAACAATTTATTTCATTAAGTATTAAATAATTCACTGTGTATATAAATGTTAAAGAATAAATAGGTACCTAATACAGTTAAATTTACCAAATATAGATAGCTACCTTCATATATTAATATATTCAATTTTATAAAATATTTTAAATATGTGCTTAATGTTGTATTAATTTTAATGGAAACAAAGAAAAAAATTGTTTTTACGAATTTTTTCTTAATAATAAGATTTTATTCTGTAATAGAAAACTAAATATAATGTTGTGTTAGTCGTTTATCTAATTTTATTATTATATAATATTAGTAAGTTTCAATTATTTTTTGAATACTCTTTCCTTTCTATTTAAATTTATTATTTTATGTTTTTTTGAAAATTAAGTTGTAGATTGTGGAGTATCTATATTAATGACTAATTAAGAATAAATAAAGTTTCAGATATGGTCTATACTCTAAAAAGAAAAATGAGCAATATGACTACTAATAATACTGGTATGTAAATATTGTTATTTTATATAGTTATTGAGTTGTAAAATAATAACTTGTTTTATAATTCTGATGATAGAAATTATCGATCTCAATGATGAAGATGCAGACGTTACTTGGGGTGGCAAAAGGACTCGATATGTATATAACTATACTTTGCAAAGTAACAATTTAATTACTGATACTGATGATTCAGATGTCACAGAAAGTGTACACAGTATTCAATCAAAAACTACAAGTAATTTTTTTTAAACTAAATATTTTGTCACTTTTTATTTTTATGATTTAGTCTATTTTTAAATTTATAATAGAATAGATATATGGATCTTCAATCATTATTACACTAATCTAAATTAACATTTTAAATTTGAGAAAGGAATATAAAACTAATGTTATGATTTTAAAGGTAAATGTATGTGTACAATTTACATATATGTATTTATTTATATTATTAAAATTAGCTCATTTCAATAAATGAATGACATTTTATAAGACTTTGTGATTCATAGTTTATTTTTGCTGTAATTTTTTCTATTTATTTTATAGTATAGGTAAATTGTTACCATCAAAAAAATGTTTACACATATAAACATAATAATTATCATTATCAAATAAATAACATTATTTATAAACTAATATGACGTATAAGTAATGTTTTAATAATCTCTATATTATATAATAAAACTATATGTGCATTCTTCTGTCATACAGAAAAGATGTCATTATTATTAATGATTAAAAATAGTTTACTAAGCACAATTGCTAGGTTTGGATTTTTACAATTATTGATTTTAATTATGTATACTACTTTTAAACAACAGCTTAACTTTTTTTTTTAAATTTAAATATTTTAGTAATTCAGTAATTTGTAAATGTATAAAAGACAGAATAACTAATAAAATTATAAAAAAATCTGATATTTTTTCTTGGTTGACCTTAACCTGGGCTTATAAAAATCATTTTTACAAGTCCAGGCTTAATCTGGCTCTAATAATTTACTTTATAATTATTAATTTTAAGTAATAAAAATTTTTTTATAAATTTCTCAAAAAATTAAAATATTGAATGAGCTACATTTTACCTATAGTATTTAGTATCTACTCGTCTGCTTATATCCTTAAGTTACCATAATAATAAAAATCAAAAGTATGTATGTATTTTATAACTATTAAAAAAAAAGTTGTACTTTATACATTAGAGTAATTACTTTATATATATATGGTGGTTAGTCGTAATATTCATGTTATGAAAAAATCTGCTTTTTTCTCTTATTTTGTTCTTTTTTCTTAATTTTTATATATTTTTCTTGAAAATTTAACTTATTTCTATGTATATTATATTTGGACTAAAAAAATACTATATTATTATTGTCAGAAATTATAAAACCAGTAATGGTTGACTGATAAAATAACTATTGTTATTGTGCCGAAATTGTATAGTTTTATTTACAACTAAGGAAAGGGAAAATTATTTTAATTATATCTGCGTATTTTTATAGCAAATTTTAATACTTAAGTTGACCAGTAAAAAATTAAATTTAATAAATACTATTTAAGAATTTATTTTGCTACAAAATCTGAGCCCTAGTTATAACTAATAGCTGTGCAACATTTTGAGCACTCATATACTTAAAGAATAAATAAAAGTTATACGTAAATTAAAAATTAGTGATTTTTAATTTTATTGAATAATTGCAATAATAACTATTTGGATATTTTAAATAAATCCTTTTTTAGTGGAAGCAATTAGTGAAGCGGATCTTTCAACAGATAAAAGTTGTGCTAGCGATTGTGAATGTGCTGATCAGACCGAATTTGATGTGGTCAGCACTTCATCATCTTGTCTGATGAATATAGAATCAAATACTTCAGATTCTTCAACGTTAATAGATTTTAAGGTAAAACACAAATTGATTTTGTTCAAAATGTTTTTATAACTGTATTAAATTTCTTAAAAAAGATATAACATTGTCTTAACTTAAAATTATTTCTTTAGGAAAAAAAAATTATCCACGTATGTTGTTTCTGTTTTTTAAACATTATAGATTAATAAATTTGTATTCAAAAGTTTTAATTTTGTTTATTCAATGTTAACAATAGAAGAATTGATCTATTATAACATTTAAGATTGTTACAAAAAATTTGAATTTTTTAATTCAAATTTGATAAGTTATATATTTGTACGATTAAAACAACACATACAGACGTATTTTTTTGGTATGCAATATAATATATTTATTTGTTTTTAGATAACCAAAAATATTATAAATTGTGATAAAATTGATACAGAAAATGGATACTTGCCAGACGATACCGACGTTCAAGTAACTAGTTCTAAAACACATTTGCCTCCACCAGCTTGTTTCAAAACATGCTTACAATGTAGGAAGGAAAATCCTAATCCTTATTTCCAATATTGTTTTGTTTGTTTTAGAGTAAGTATTGAATTTATACTTATGTTAATAATTTGAACTAATCGTGAGTCTTTATTGGTAGATTACTCTACATTTGAGATTATCTGTATGTTTTAGTAGGCCAGTAGTGTTAATAAATTGACGGGTATATTATTTTCATTGTTATAACTATATTATAATTTCATTGATTTATAATAATTGGAAAAAGTTATTATTTTCATAATTATTAAAAAATACTATTTATAAAGATAAATGTGATAATTATAATTTGTTAGTTTAATTTTCAATTATATAAGATAAAAAAAAATAAAATCAAATGTGAAAAAATGAACAACACTAGTTAAATAAGAATACTTTATTGCGGTATCATTAAAAATTCATTTAATTAATAATAGTTTATTTTATGTATTATAAATTATAATATTATAATATTAAAAATTATATCACACAAATATTGTATATATAAAAATAAAGTCTCAATTTCTACCATAATATTTTCTAATTTTGAACAAATAAAATTACTAATGCTTTTCAATATTTGTTTACTACTCCTATTAATTTAAATTCATTCATTAGTAAAATGGGTTTTCATGTCTTTTTTTATGGCTAAATTGTTAAAATTAAAATAATATGAAATATTTTTAAAGCATAACAATTAAAGCTTTTCCTTTTAAATTATATTATATGAAAAAATAGACAATTAAATCAAATATCTAGTATTAAAAGTTATAAAGAAAATAAATTAACATATAAAAGTTTGCATAGCATTCTTTTATTCTTATTAATTTGTATACTTTATTAAATTTTTCTAATATTATAATTCAAGTAAATTTTATTACATGGCTATAATGTATTTAATAAGATAAAAGACCTAATATTTTGTGTTGACTATCACACAATATCACGTTTTATGGAAATTATATATTGTTGACTAATACATTGATAATAAAATATATTATTTGATTATTTTTATTTTAGTATAGAATGGATTTTTTTGGAACTAAGCCTCGTTCAAAAACAAAAAATGTCAAACGCTTAAATGTGTCTAAGCCTACAAAAGACAGCAACTTTTTTCAAGATTTTCAAAAATCCAATCAATCAAATTCTCTACAAGGTGATTCAACTCAGACGAAAAATGTTGTAAACAATATTACTCCAATGAATGAAAATATTAATAATATATGTAACATATGTTATGTTATGCCTAAAAACGGTGTTTTTAATCATGGTAAAATTGGTCATATTTATTGTTGCTATTCGTGTGCTAAAAAATTGTGGAAGAAATCTAACAAATGTCCTTTATGTAATGTTAAAATTAAATTTGTGACAAAAATGATAATTGTCTAAAAATTTATAGTTTTTTTAAATATTGTAAAGTTCATTTTTAATATTAATTTATTATTGTTTATTATTTACATTATATAATTATATGTTATTTTTATATTCTATTTCATAATATAAGAGCCATCTCCGGTGGGTAATGTGGTCAACCTAACCTAACTGAGTATTTAGAGATATAATTTGACTGTATCTCACAATAATCAGTTGCCTATTAAGATTACTCTTATATGAGAAAAAGTATAGAAAATCGTTAAATATTCAATTTTTTATAATATAATAAATTTTGATAATTTTGTACTTTATTTTTGGATATTTAATTTTTTTATAACTTAATGGTTATTTTTAAACTGGTTTTTAGATTTGTCATTGGCTGTGTTTAATATATTAAAAATTTTTTCTCATAATATTTTGTAATTTAACAATTGATACAACAATTAGAATTCATAATGATTAATATTAAATATGTTAAACATAACCTTGTTTTGAGTTTTATGTTTGTTTTCACTATTTTTCTTTATTTATGTAGTGTGTTATTAAATTGTCCTACTTTGTAATAAATGAATCTTAAGTAATTTGTGATATTGTTAATATTTGATTGATTGTAAGAATTATATGTTCTTATTTTGAAATTATAGAATTGTTTAGTAGTGAAAAATAAAAATATTTTACTTTAATTTTGTTATGGTATTATATTTAATAAAAAAAACTGTTTCTTTATTATTTTCTAGCAAGACATCTACAAGATTTAAAATTAAAATCGTGGAAATCAATTTTTATTTTTATTTATGGGAATCTATTGATCATTAATAGCTTATTATTTGTTATGGTTCAGTATATAAAATTATGCTAATATTATTCAGCAGTAGAGATATTTGTTTTATCCAGCTAATTCTAGTCTTTGGATTTATATTATTATAATTATTATTGATCACTTGATCAGTACGACGGTCTACGTAATACGTTATTGACTTGAGAACTTGCATCGTACAATGGTTCAAATAGGTTTGTTTATGACCAGAGTCAATGAATAAGGTGAAATATATAGTAAACCAAACAGCGATTTATATGTGGTTTAAAATAAATGTTTAATATTCAAATTATTTTTTTTTTTTTTAGTAAATCAACCCTAAGGTTGGTTTTGCAATTTTCCGAAGTTTCTCCATTCATCTCTATTTTCAGCTAGCCTCTTCAGTTCCTTATAGTTTGCTAGACCTGCATCGGAAATCATCTTTTTGATATAAGACGTTCTTGGTCGTCCTCGATCTCTTTTGCCATTCATCTTCCCTTCTATTATAATATACAGAAGTTCTTCTTCGTGTCTTAAGACATGACCAATCATATTCCATCTTCTTTCTTTTATGGTGCTAAGTATCTTCCTGGTTTCATTTATTTCGTTTAGAATGTTTTCGTTAGTTCTTCTTTCTACCCAGCTTACTCGCAACATTCTTCTCCAGCACCACATCTCGAAGCTTTCAAGGAACTTTTGTTCCGTTTTGTTTAATACCCATGTTTCGCATCCGTAAAGTGCGACACTCCACACATATACCTTTATCAGCCGTTTCTTCACACGTATACTCATGTTTTTAGAGCACAGTAGGTTCCTTTTGTTCATGAATGCTGTTTTTGCTTGAGCGATCCTTGCTTTTATATCCATAGTACATTTTCCATCTTGGCTAATTATGCTACCTAGATATCTAAAGTTTTCCACTTGATCGAGAATGTGGTTATCAATTTTAATTCTTAATCTATGAATACGATTCTTTTTTTGACACATCATTATCTTGGTTTTATTCCAATTGATTTTAAGGTGATAATTTTGGAAGCCCTTTGCTATTTCTTCTAACGCTCTTTTGAGATCGATTTCGCTGTTTGCAACAAGAGCTATGTCATCGGCGAATCTTAAAAATGATATCAATTCTCCTCCTACTGTCACTCCAATTTGATCTCTAGTGAATGTTTCTTTAATTTCATTGATAGATTGTTCTACATAAATATTGAATAATTTTGGTGACAGTAGACACCCTTGTTTTACTCCCTTTCCTATTTTGGCTGTTGCAGACTTGTCTGACACTTTTATTATAGCTAATTGCTCTTTGTATATGTTGTATATTAGCTGTCTGTCTCTATAATCAATGTCTATTTCTTTTAATGTCTTAAAAAGTTCCTTCCAGGGAACTGTGTCAAATGCCTTCTCCAAATCGATAAATGCGATAAATGTGTCGTTGTTAAATTCGATCTGTTTTTCAATTAATGTCCTTAGGCTTAAGATCGCTTCTCTAGTACCCATGTTTCTTCTAAATCCGAATTGATCATTGCTTAAATGCCTTTCAATTTTATGTTCTATCCGGTTACCTATTATTTTTACTAGGATTTTAGCCGAATGTATCATCAGACTCAGGGTTCTATATTCACTGCATTTTTCAGCTGTTGCTTTCTTGGGGAGAGTAATTATTATGTTTTTTTTAAAATCTTCCGGTATTTCTCCAGTTATATAGATGTCATTAACCAATTTAAATAATTCGTTCTGGATTTTTTTACCTGCATTTTGGATCAATTCTGTTGATATATTGTCTACACCTGGAGATTTCCTAATTTTCATCATTTTAAGGACTTGGTTGAATTCTTCCCTCAAATTATTTATATTGACTATATATATGTTGTGACTGCCAAGACGTCTATCCATTATGTTGGCGGTGGTAATTCGTCTACGGCTAATTTGCTGCTAACAGCTGTTAACGATAATAAATCCGGCAGTCTGAAGAAATGGGCTAGGACGGGCAATGACCAATGATTCGTTTGATCGCTGGATATAGGCAATCAGATATATGTATATAGTTTATATACGTATCGATGGACGGCGGCGCCACACTTGTAGTATATATTATTTATGTATAGTGGGCGTAATAATAATTACAATATGGTATATTGTAATAATATTTCAACGACCGCGACACGATGTCGCACTTAGCACAATTTAAAATATAAATATAACTGAAGTAGTAAATTAATGATACGCGTCGCACGGACCAAAGCAATTTGCGACAGGTCGCTCTAAAATTATAAGTCGGCGAAAACGCACTCGACACCCAATGCTCAAACGCTGACGGAGGCGAACTGATAATTAATGAGCGAGAGTGGTATCGACAATAGCCGTGGTTATGTAAGAAGTAGATCGTCGAAAAGTTCAATATACTACGCGATTACGCTGACCGGTGAGGACCGCTAAAAGGCGACGATTTGAATAATAAGGTTGTGGAGTTAAATTCAGAGTCTAATTTTTATAACACTGGTTAAATTTGATTCATTGTCATCGCAATGAGCTAAGGAAGATTCTTCTAAATATAAAGGCAAACGTAAAGTTTTATTTGCTATTGTCATATATTTTAATGACAGTCAAAATTTCGGAAATTAATATTGCAAATGTTGTAGGCTTATAAAGTTATAAAATTATATTTATTATTTTTCATTTTATTTGAGTTTTAAGTAGGTATTAAAAAATATTTTGGATTTTATTTTCTATTAAAGTTTTTATAGTAAATGTAATACGTTTTTTAATTCTGGAACTGTAGCCGTGGTAATTTAATTTCATTTGTTCAATTTAATTGTTAGTTGTAGTTTAAGTAATTTATTGACTTATTTTTAAGTGAGTATTGTATTTTTTTTATAGTATTTGCTTTAAGCTTGAGGTGCCACTATTGTGGACAGTATATTTTATTCCTACCTATGCAATTAGTTTCTAAGACAACTATATTTAGATTTTTGTTATTCAATTAATAGTTTTAATATTCAATTAGTAAATTAATATTTAACAGTTTCTGTACAAAATAAAATGAAATCCTCGAAGAAAAAAACAAAAGAAACGGTGAAAGTTGTACCGTCTGATGATCCGGTTAAACCAGACGATCAGTTAATTCTAAGCCAAGAAGTAAACTAAAATATATAAAAGCGTAGATATATAGCGATTAGGTAATTAATTAGAAGTTTAAGAGTTTAGCTAGTTAATTAATTTATTAAATGATAACATACTGTGTCAAAAATGCAAATAATACAATTATAATTTTTCATAGAAATAGTTCTGTCTCTGGGGAAAAAAAATAGATCAGAAAATGTTTTTTTTGCGGTAAATAGATTAAAATATTAAAAAAAAATTTCAAAATGTCTAGCTAATATGTCTCAGGCAATTATAATTAGTGAGAAAAAATAGATTAAATGTTTTTAAAGTACTCGATAGATTAATTTCTCCAAAGCTTTTATATCCAGAATTCTTTAATCTTATAACAATAAAAGAAATATAGATTCTTATATGTTTTAGGACTTAGACGAAGCTTATGCTAATGGACTTTTTGTTAAAGAACCACCCACACCTCACGCTAAAGTTATTTATAGCAATAGACAAAAGATGTTTTTACCAAAAAAAGAAATCAATAATAGCATAAAACTCTTTGAATTGAAAACTACATTATTCCATTGCGAATCTCCAAATGCCATTATGCAAATTGAAAATGAATTATGTAGTAAGACAGTGAATGTTAATAAAAATTTATGAATACATTAACTAACTGTTATTTTTAAGGAAAACCTGAATATATGGGCCTAGATGAAGTAATAAGTGAAAATATGAGAGAAGAAGTAGAAGAGCAACAATATGTTAATCAGTTAGGAATGTTAGGACAAGACGTAATTGAGGAAGAAGTACAGTCAGTTGAAGATGTTTATGAAGATTATGTGGATGAAAACATGGAGATGGGAGAGGAAGGTGAAGAAGAGGGCTTATCGATAGATCTCAAGAATCAACTTGAAGAGGAAAAAGAAACACCTGTAAAAAAAATAATATCTGACGAGTCCTTTTTAAGTTTGCCAGTGACAAAGTTATGTACTGTGGTGAAACTCAAAAATAAATTCAACTTTTTTGATAGAATTTCACAAACTAAAAAAATTCTTATGAGGGTAAAAATAGATAATATCATATATTTTATTACTATAATTGTCTGTTATATTATTCACAATAATTCTTGTAATCTATAGAATAAAGAAACTCAAACCCCTATAACTAAAAAATTTGAGTTTGGTGCGTTTGTGTCACTAGCTAATATTTATGACACTTACGAAGTTGATTATGCGATACAAATGGAAGAAAAAGAAAGAGAACTGAAAAAGAAATTGGCCGTACATATGGGAAAGAAGAAAACTAAACCTCGTAAAAAAATACACATTGAACACGATGACATTAAATATGAATTGTTGAAGGTTTCTAAGATTGTTGAAAAAATTATCAGTTTGAATGATACAGATGCCATAGCACAAGGTTAAAGAAGAAATTCTAATTTTTATAAATCTCACTGTATATTAATCATAAAATTATTCTCATATTTATTACAATATACATTTATGATTAGATTTTCGATATTATGAGGATCCATCAGATCAATTTAGGGATAGAGGAGAAGGAACCTTAATGTTAATGTGGACAATGGTATATGAAAAAGAAAAAAAACTAATTGTAACTGATATAGCCTGGAGTCCTGATTATTTTGACATGTTTGGTATAACGCTTAGCATTCGTAAGTAAGAATATTTGAATTTTGTAAAATTAATTAAGAGGAAATAAACCTCAACTTAATCCGAGATCCAATTTATTTTTAGACACCGATTTAAGGTAATAATATATTAATTTTTAAAACTGGTTTAAATGTATTTTAATGTTTGCATTAAATTAAATCTTTATTATACATAATATAAGTATATATAATTAGTTTATTTTTTAAATCTTAAAAACAATTTACTATGTTGTACACTGATATAATTTTGTTATTCATCAGTTATAAAAAGTTTACCTATATTTTAAGTTGAGTTAATAAAAACAAGTAGTAAGTACGTCAAGTTTAAATGTTAAATTGTAATTGTTGTTGACTAGTTTTGATTAAAATAACACTTGGTGGATAAATAGAGATATAATATTAATTTATAACACAATAATGAAACTGTTTTACTTCTAAAAAACTAATTAGTAGAGTTTTAAATCAATTATTATTATTATTATTATTCATTATTTATGACTATTACTATAATTATTTTTAAAATATAGTTTATTAATATCTAAAAAAAGTTATATTTAAAAGTAGGTATTACAATATTTTATTAAGTTATTTAAGCTTAAGTATATAAAAAAAAAAATTAACAAACACGAGATACTATATAGTTATTTCTATTCTATACATATTTTCATATTGTTATTCACTTGTAGACTGTAGTAGATTACACCACACACTTAATTTATGTTTGCTTAAAAAATTGTCTTGCTATTCTTGTACTCTTATAGTAAATGATCCAACCTGTGTCCTAATTTATTGAATAAAAAATAGGGACATGCTAAAATTTCAGAAAATTTAGTTGAGATACTTAGTTGTCCCCATCCGCTCTTTCAAGTGAAACATTATCTAAACTTATTTCGTAGGTAATATCTTGTCTAATCAAGTACCATTATGTCTCCTTTGAGAAAAATATGTTCTCATTAGATTTATATCTAAACATTTTTAGCTATCCCTGATCTTGTCGATTACTTTTCTTTTCTATCTAAAGTCAACTTTATTTATCTAATTAATGTATTTTATTTTTCACTTAAGCAAAACGTTTCATTATACTCCTTTCTTTGCGCGATTCTGATTAATCAAATATTTATCTATTCAACTAGATTTTTGATGATCTAATTAACCTCAGTAACGAAATCTCGACATTAATTATTAATCCTACTGGTTTTAGTTGATACGTTTTTAGTTTCCAATATTTATAATATTATAGCTCAAATTCATTGCTGTATGTTGTTATTATTTTTCTTTATTTTATATTATTTATAATACGGATTTTTATTTATTGTATTTTGTTGTTTTTTACCTTTTCTTTTATTTTTGGGAGAGTTAATATCAATAAAATAAATTAACTAGTATTTTGGAGACTAAGTTAGGAACATAATTTAATATTTATTTTTTTTTAAGTTTTTGGTATAAGCAATTGAGACAAAAAAATTAATGTTTAATAATTATTTTCAAAACACTTTAATGAATTTAAATAAAGTACATGTGTTCTAATGAAATACATAAAAAAAATTCAAGTATTTTTATACTTATCTATTTAAATATGATTTATAACTGTATGAAAAACAAGAACTATTATGAGTCGTGACTAATATTTAATTTAAAAGTTCTCAAGTTTGTTTTAATCACAAAATAATATTTTCTACAACTATATATTATGCAATTATTATTATTTATTAAGTAATACGTGAAGAGTAAATCTTGAGCTCGTTTTAAAGCATTTCGTGAGCACGGAGGAGTGTGAGGTTTGATTTAGTTAAAATTTAGATAAAGAATGAGTGCAAGATATTTTGATATTATTAAGACAGGTAAGATACGAAAATAGAAACACACCATTGGCACTATTTATCTGCTTAGTAAAATAAAATTTAAACAACGATTAGTAAGTGAAGATGAGTATTATGAAGTACTAAAAATAGAATATATCTTTTAGAATACGTTAGTTATACGGTTGAAACGGTGTTTATGATCATATTTTGATTTATAGACGATATGCTAGTAATTTTAAAAATGTATCAAATATTTGTGTAGTAGGTATGTATGCTATATTTTAGCTTTATTAGTTAAATAAAATATTATAAACCATATAAATATTGGCGTGAAATGAGTGTTGGTACCTAATTATTATTATTAATTTTTGGTGCAATGTATGACACATTTAGCACAGAGTGATTTGCCATTTACTGACAATCCAGACATTGGGAACGTGTGCTTGTGGGTTTTAAAGAATTCATCATACCCAGATTATGTAGCACATACACAATCCGGAGCTATGTGTTTGAGTTTTCATCAAGATTTTGGTAATATCCTTGCCGTTGGACTGCGTGACGGAAATTTGGCCGTATACAACGTGAGCTTACTGAAAAACGAACCAGAGTACTCGACAAATTTAGCGGGTACCAAACTCATGTCTAGCGTAATGCAGGTATATATAACACGAGTTTTTCTAAATAAGTTTTGTTTACTTATATTTTCACTAGATATAAATGAAAGGTCTATTAAATTTAAATGTTGTTTAGGTAGTCTGGTGTAAGAATTTACCTACTGGTGAGTTGAATTTTTTTTCTGTATCCGAGGATGGTTTGGTCTGCCAATGGATATTGATGCAAAGTGAATTGATGAAAGTCGTTAGAATGGCTCTGGTCATAGATATGTATCCAGAAATTGAGCTTGGCGGTATCAAACAAACGTACTACGGTAATATTATGCATATTCTCGCTTGTTATAGTCCTTTTTTTCTTTTTTCATGTTTTTTTATACTTACATTACATTTGACAGCCAGGGGTACGACAATTACATTTAATCCAGCAGATCCTGAGATATACTTAGTTGGTACGGTTGAAGGTTATATATTTAAATGTAATATGGAATGGTCTCGTCATGTTCAGAGATTTAAAGCTCATCAAATGCCGGTAAACCGAATCGATTTCAACAAATTTGATCCAAATATATATCTTACATGTAGTGAAGATTTTGAAGTTAAATTGTGGGAAGACAAATCAGAGTGAGTTAAACTTTAATGTAATTCTAAAATTTGATCACGGTTAAAATATGTTATACTGTGCACTCTTTTGAAATGATTTATCACCACCATATGTTTTTTTATTTCATTTCGTAGCTATGTAATTATCATTATTTGTTGCTGTTTTAACCTATTTGTAGCTATTTCAAATGTTTTTTCATAACATTTTTTTTCTTATGTGTTAAAAATTATTACCATTATGATTTATAATATTTTACGCTCAGAGCGTTATCATAAAAATAATTTGTCTACTAATTAGGTACTGTGTGTGTAATTTTATTTATCGGTAACGTTATTACTGTCGATAATATTGAATATCGTCTTAAACCGTGGTTTGTAATTAATAACTATACATTTTAGCGCTTTGAGCTTAACATTGTAGTGCTTCACGTTATAAGCTTATAAAGTTATAAGGGTTATATGGAAGAATATTCAAAATGTAAAAGCCTTTTCGTCATAAATAAAATTATAATCATAAGAAACTGATTTTATTAAAACATTTAGTTTCTTACAAATTTACTTTAGTTTTCCACATAACCGAGGAGGATGGTTATAATATTTTGGGACAAAAAGGATATTCTTTTGGTTGATTTTATAGAATGCGATACAACAATTAACAATTATAGCTGTTATATACTATGGAATGCTCAACAAGTTGAAACGTGCAATCCAAAATTGTCGACGTGGGAAATTCTCATCCAGCATAATCACGATAATGATAACATGCGTCTTCACACCGCTGCCAAATCCAACTTTTTGACAACCATCCGTACACTTCTGACTAACAACTACTTCTTGTTCTTGTACTTCAAACAGAGGATCGATGGACAACGTTTTAAATACGACAAGGAATTCAAAAACACCATTGTTAATTGGTTTAATTTTTTGACGGGGAGCTTTTATGCAGACTAGTTAATGAAGTACAGTGGTACGAAAAATTATTAAAAGCGAACAGCGATTATGTGGAAAATTTAAGTAGATTTATAGGAAATTTAATGTTCTAATAAAAATTAAAACCTTTTTCTTATGATTATAATTTTTTTTTTATGACGAAACGACCTTTATTTTTTGAATACCTAGTATGATACCCGGGTAATATTCTTTGTAATCATGGATAAGATTTATTTTGATTTATTTAATGAACTAGCTAATCGGTTTGAAGTCTCTTTAATTTAGATAAATACGTCTGTATACCTTTTTATCGGTAAACATTTGCATGTGTTTTTTTTTTTATAAATATTGTATATTAATCTCTGTTTTACCATTTTTTTTTTTTTTTTTTTTTATTACAGAGTTCCGATGATAATCTTTGATTTGCAAACGGGTTTGACAGATGTACGTTGGTCTCCATTCTCTAGTTCAGTATTCGGTATTACCACTGTGGACTGTCGTGTTGTTTTTTACGACTTAGATGTAAGCACTAAAAAATCTATTTGTGATCAGCTCATTCATCCCACAGAGAAATATCGACTGGTTCGATTAGCTTTTGACAAACGAGTACCAATGATTGTGGTTGGAAGTTCAAGGTAATAATAAGCCTCAGATAATTTAAAAATTATATTAGTATCTTTTAAAGAATTTTAATTACACGTGGGGATCTTGGAATTTGTTTTTATAGGTGTACTATTGTTACATATAAATTGTCACCAAACCTTCGTAAAATAATGAAATCTCCAAAGAAAGGAGTTCATATTCCTACAGAAATATTGGAGTTGGAAAAATTACATGCAGTGTTGAATTCTATCAGAGAATAAACCATTAAATTTATTCTGATTTTTTTTTACGATGACAATAATTTAATTTCTTTTTCTATTTTAATTTTGTCTATTCGATTAAATATGTAAGTAACTATAGGTCACTGACCCCACAATAACAAAATAATATTTTAAGAAAAGCACCTCACTTTCAGTCTTTAGAAACTATTTTGCATGAAACCGATTTGTATTAAAATTATAAATAAGAAGTACCTACCAAAGTTAGTTACCTATAATAGTAAGTTAATATGATATAAATATTTAAATACATATTTAAAATCAAATTCTATGGTGTAGGTGTATAAGTTATACAATGTTGGAAACTTGGAAATAAATAACTAAAATATTATCTAGATAAAGATAATATATATGTTTCGATGTCGCCGGTGTCGATATACTTGTTCTATTTTATATGTATATAATTTAGTAACAGTTAAAATTAAACAATGATGGAGTCACGAATTTAAAGCTAGTATAAAAAAAATTTATAGTGTCAATGTATTATTTTTGAATTAAGTGTATGAGTATTATTATATTTAACAATATAATGTTACTAATTACTAGATACTAGTACACTATATTATGTTTATACAGCTCCGACGGAATTATTCATTGGTGCCCTGGGCGAATAAACAAATATGCACTCCTCACCATATAAATTGATTCTATAATTTTTTCAGTTTTAACATTATATTATTGAGGCGTCCCCCCTTTTCAACAAGCGCCCTAAGCGTATCAAGTCACATACCCCTAACACCGGTTCTGTGTATATTTTAAAACTTAATCCCGTTAAATATTAAATAAAAATATATCTTCCTATTTTGTATAAACTTATTACTGTGAAAAAAAAACAGTAAAGGTGTAGTAAAATTCTTATTTTTATGTTTACTCGAAAATACTCGCTGTGTATACGTAATATACTGTATTATTAAGTTGTTTAAAATAATAAATACTATATAAATTTAATGCCTTAAATTGGTTTTACATTTCAACAATTAACTTTTAATATTAGTTTTTTTTTTTGTAATAGTAAGATATTTCCTCTTAAAATTCTTTTAGTCAGGTTATACATTTCTATTTCAATCAAAACTATATAAATGCATTATGTAACATGCACGAAATAAAAAAAAAAATCCACTACATGATTGATTTATTATATTTTTCTCCAAGGTATAATTTTTGTTTTCCAATTGCACACTCCATTGGTATATATAAATTATTTTTGTTTATAAATGCCAGTACTCAATTAGCATTTAAGTATGGGACTCAATTAAGTTGAACACTTGATCCTTGTTATAAAAACATATTCGTAGGCTTGTAGAGTATATTATGTAGACACATACCATCAACAACGTGGATCACAGATTTCTGTACTACACGTACGTGTGTCGTGCAGTCAAATGCTAAAAAGTAATCAATAATTTAAAAAACAGTATTTGTTGTGGTATATTTTCTAGAAGTTGGTGTCGTCGTTGTCAGTTATAGACGTCCCCCATAGATAAATTAACAAATTATGTATCAGGTATCTATTACGATCACGGCTGTTGATGCTAAAAAGTACAACACAAGTCACATGATATAAATCGTCTTCATTTTACAGACACGAACAGTGTAACGTACATCGTAAAATTTGTAGTAGGTCAAAGGAATAAAAATGTAAAAAAATCGAACCGGAAGGGGTCATAATAAAGACATTCGATGATAGTCCAAACAAACACTCCTAATAGCGAGCGATTGACGAGTGTACCGTACTACCGTGTGCGTGAGCGACGAGCGTTGATGTTGATAAGTGATAACCGATTTATCAAAATATTATTATTTACGTACGGATACGTCAGTGATTACGATAATCAAACCGTAAACATTGCACCATAGCGGTGCGTTTTTTTCGCAACGGTTCGAGCAAACGAATTTCACGACCGAGCACCGACATAGATAACAATATCGTATCATAGTTTCGATCGCGGAGTGGATAACTACTGTTACTGTGTATAATCTTATGATTGTTGCCGAAATGTACGGCCTGGCTGGCGGCTACGACTTACTTTGGTATAAGAAATCAACTAGCGTCGCGCGGCTTTATCGCTACATTCGTAGCACAACGAGGTATCGGTAAGTTATTGTCGACATAGACATCACGATAACGTGTGATTTTAAATTTAAACAAGTGTGAAAGCTACGGTAGTGGTTTGAATTTTATAGTCAAACGTTTAGGGCTCAACATTTTAAGCAGCAGACAGTATTTTTTTATTTGTTAATTCCACATCAAACATAATTGTTGGTACATGTTATTGTAAGTATATTATGTTGTTTAACTGTAGAGCCGGTAGTCCAATGTTCTAAGTAATTCACATATTAATTTAAAACTAAAATATGACAACAGATCAAAGAATTGTTGGAATTCTTGTTCTTCAATGTAGTTAATTTGAATTATTTAAATTTATACCAATTTAAAATCCATGGCTAATCAATTTTGATGTTTTTTTATTCGATAAAATTTATATTTTGCCTGCTAGGTTTCAAAATTGTTACATAAATTATTACGTAATAATTCAACAACCTATTGCTTGTTTATGTTAATTTTTGGGTTTCTGTTTTGGTTTAATCAGGTTATGTTGTTACTTTTTAAGATTTATGTGATATTATGCGTTCAAAATGATAAAATGTATTCTATAAAAGTATATAGGTACAAGTCTAATACAATGATATAAAGATAGCCATCAAACACTATGAAAAGATTTATAAGAACTGTACAACCCAAAAACGTGTAATAGTTCCATAAAAATGATTATAATAAAAATAATAAGGCAGAGTTTTAAAATGTATAAAATTCTAATAATCTAATAAAATTACATTAGTGACATTAGACCATATTTGAAACTATAGATCATAACTACTTAATTGAATTATTTAAAACACTTAATTTAACAGGAATGTACTATAATTGTTATTATTGTCTGTTTATTTACAGTTAAAAATTAATAATTCAAGTCGGATAATCATTCATATTTAATAATGCTTCACAAAGTTGTGCATTTCAATTTGAATAAAATTGGTTTTGTACAAAATATTTATCAAACATGTTGTTATTGTGGAACATTTAACATAAACAATGATGTAACAAAATTTTTTCAACATAATTTAGGTATTTATTATTTTATAACATATTTACAGTGACAGTGTAAATTTATTTCATATGAGCTAAAACATTTGATAGAAAAATTAAAGTGATAAATAAATAAATAATTTAAGTTTTATTACAAATATATTTACATAATATACCTAATTAAGGTATCCTTAACTTAAAAATAAAATAATTTTATGATTTCTAAAAAAGTTGATGCTGTCATTGTTTATTTAAAAATCATAATTTATTGATCAAGATTTTATTTTCATTAATTGCTATTATTTTTAGGTTTACCTGAAAATGAAGTCCGGAGAATCATTAAAAAGTATCCATCATTTAATAATGATTCGTATTCTTCACTATCTGACAACTTTTCTTTATTAATGGTATTATTATTTGTAATAGAAAACATTTTACATTCAAATAAATTTTTTAAGAGATTTGTATAATTATAATATATTTATTAATTAGTTAACCTATCTATATGGTATTACTATTAATATTATATGAACACGTTCGCTGCGGCTCAGTTTTATACATATATTTCAGTGCTGGTCAAATTTACATTTTTTTTTTTTTTATAACACCCAATAGGAAAAGAAAAAATTTGAGGCACGGATTGCATAGACTTATACAGTAATATATACTGAAAAGTGCTGATGAATAAAATAAGATTAAAACGCAATGTTGGCCAAATTGAAAATAGTTGAAAATGAATGTAAAAATGATGCCTTAAGGCGTCATCTGCATATGGAAAAGATCGAAATGATGCCTTAAGGCATCACTCGTAGCAAACGTGTTAAGCAAATAAATACAATTAATTATAACTGTTGTTTTAAGAAGTTAATTCAAAATTTTTATTTTTGATTAAAAAAAGTGAGATACTTTGAAAATTGTTATCAAATTGAATTATTATAGGTAGTTTCTAATTATATTAAATCTGTGAATATTTGTTGATTAAGTTTTTTTTTTTTTTAATTATGGACTATATTTTTTAGAGTTTTGGGTTTTCCAAAGATGATATTCTCAAAAAAATTCAAGTATTAACACTTCATTCAATCACTATTAAAAATTATACTATGCTTTTGGAAGAAGGAGGTTTTATTAAGAATAAAATTGATTCAAAAGTATTATTAAGGTAGTTTATTATGTGTTTGTTTTTTTATTGTACAGTATAAATAATAGGTATTGCTATTTTTTTAATTTTTTTTGATGCTCATATTTTTAAACTTGTTATAATTTCATTTACTATTCATCTTATTTCTTAAATACTTTTTGTACACAATATCAGTGTTTTTTGTTACTCATAGGATTTTCAAATTTAAATATTTATATTTGCTTTCTTTTTTACTGGTAGTTTGTTATTTAAAAAAAAAATTAGTTATTGGTTTAGCATTAAATACAATATTTATAACTAATGTAATTTATTTTTTGTTATAGATTTAAATTTATATCAAAAAAGTCTATTCAGTCATTAAAAAATGAAAACTACATTTATAAACATATCGATGTTGGACATCATATATTGTCATTTATTAAATTTCCAACTGGATTATATCCAAAAACTTGTGATGAGTCTCTTTCATGGAATCAGGTTCAGAAAAATATATTTAAATTATACATTGAATGGAAAATTAAAATGAATGTGGAACACTTAAAACATGCACAAACAGTTTACCACAGATTATATAATAAAAGTTACAGACTTATGGATAAAAGTATCGATATTTTACTTAATGAATTTAATTTTACTGAAGAAAAGGTAAATATTTAATTTATCAGTTAAAATTTAGTGTATATAAGTGTATTTATTTTGTATAGATTAGAAGACATTCTTATTTAATACACAGTGATCCTGACAATACACGAGCGATTTTAGATAACTTTAAAACTCTTTGTGGAATGGATGTAAAATCAATTTTAAGTAAGCATCCCAAAATAATTATTACTCCATGGAATACAATTGGACAGATTAGAAAACATTTTGAGGTATTTGAATAATATATAAAAAATATAATTGCATAAATAAATTAGTATGTTATTTTGAAAATTGTCAAAATAAATATTAAGATAAACTGTCTATGGTTGATAAAATAAATTATTAATTTAATTAATTTGTATGATGAATAATGGACTCTTTACATGCTCAAAAATCAACAAAATATTTAATAAAACAAATAGTACAACTCAATAAATAACATACTAATTTTTTTTTAGTCATGAATTCAGAATCGTCATGTTATACATATTGGATGTCCCATCTGTATTTTTTGAATCCCGAACTAAGCGTGACTGCTTAGCTTAAATTTTATAGATTATGCACTTGTAAAACAGAGACAACAAATTAATGTGGATGTAACATGCTCTTAATGTAAAATATATCTGTTTAAAGAATTATAAATGTAGTATTTTTGTATAACAGGATTTTGGAATTCCCGAGTCTTCATTAGCTAAAGCACCAGAAATCTATACATTAGGAAGTAATACTATTTATGAAAGATTATGTAAATTAAAAGAAACACCAGAGTTGGCATCATTTATAAACAATCCACAAGTTGCTAGACTCATTTATTACTATACAAAAGTAAATTTACGTTTGAAGTATTTACAAAGCAAAAATTGTTTGTCATTAAATTTATTAGTTACAAACAATTATTCATTTAACAGGTTCTTACATAACTCTTTATATTTTTGTATAATTTTATAGTTTACTATTTAATAGTATATAGTTAATTAATTTTATTGTATTTAATAGATTTAATTGCAATGGCAACGACAAAGGAAAAACCAATGATATAATGATATATTTGACAAAAGAATTGGGAGAAGACAAAAACAAGTTACGATCATTATTAGAACGTCATCCATATTGGCAGTATATTTCATTGTTAACAATACGAAAATCTTTTGAGTTTCTAAAAAAAAATAATTTCACAAAGAACCAATTATACCATTGCTCACAGATTTTACTGTATCCAGTGTAATATAACTGTTTGAAAAGTTTAATATTATTTTTTAATTATATTTATTGAATTTTTAGACATAAAATTAAAGATTCATTGGTATCCACTGAACAAATGAAGAACGTCTCCTATCTACGAAATGCGTCTGGATCTATCAAATCTGAATATTTATTACCATTAGTACTATATAATTTGGAAAAGGATTATCATTTTTCAGGCGATGGTGTTTGGAGCACCAATGAGAAAACTGAAAAAATGCAACTATCAGATACTCCTAAAGCCACGTTTGAGGATACAGAAGAATTGGATCATGAACCATCTACTAAATTACTTTGATAGATTTTTTGTTTAATTAAAAACGTGTTTATAGTAATCAAGTTAGCTGTTAAATTATAAGTTTAAACATGATTACATGACAAATTCTAACATAAAATATGTTAATTTGTTCTTTAAATTGTTGTAGTATTAATTCGTTGGAATTTATGATGCTTAATGATAATTTATAATAAGATAATATAACTCGACTTTAAATTAATGCAATTATTTATTAAGTAATTATTATTCATTTAAAAATTAAAGTATAATAAGTAATAACTATTTGACAAAAAAACATAGATAACATTCTCACCTTTAAGTTTGATAATAGGTCATTTCTTTTAAATATTTAAGCTTAATATACAAAATTTTAATTACTGAACATTTATTTTGATATAATTTGTGTTAGTAAGACGTCATATGATTACAATATCCTTTTAATTATTTGAACTCTTTATAACTCATAAAATAGAAATTTTTTGTATATTATTTATCTGATAATATTTTTAATTTGTTATGATTTTGTATTGTCAATTCTATCGAACAAAATTTTGATTTTCCCAGATAAAATTTATTCATTTAATTTGATTTTAGTTGAAGTAGTTTGATTGTATATTAAGTTTTACTTTCATTTCAAGATATACCTACTTAAGTATATGTTATATATTAGTTGTACTATCTCTGATCTTAATACAAATGCCTAATGAAAACATAAACAGTTTGAATGTTGAATTCTGGAAAACAATTTAGCTTGTAGAAAACATAGACAATATTGGGAATGGCATAATTAATTATGTGAGGTCCATACTAGTTGTACATTAAAAATAACACTTAAATTTTTAAGTAATGTCATTGATTTTAGAATATAATTATATATTTATTATATTTTAGTATACTTATTCTAAGATGAATGGGTAATATTTTGTATTTTTTGGTATTTTTATGCATATTATATTAATGTTTTTACATTATTCATAAATGAGACTGATAGTTATATGCCCTAAAAACCTATAAAATATGTATGCAGTTATGCCCTAAAAATTATTAAACTATGTTCTTAAAAAAAAACAAAAACACGATAATCAATTGCAATATTTTATTTTTTATTCAATGATTTATAAAAATGTGTGGTATTCTCTTCATCTGCAAATCAAACAAAAATGTTTCATGTTTTTAATAAATAATTATTTAAACAAAACAACACATTAATTAAATGATTAATATTTTAATTTACATCCAATGTTATTGCATTGAATAATTACTGATTTGGATAAGTTTTAAAACATCATTGATTGTTGATTGTTTTGTAGCTTGAAAAAGATCGTTTTACATCAACGAATGCAATAGGTTCATATTTGTAACGTAACCAATCATTGCTTGTCAAATCTTCTGGGGTACCTTCTAACATGGATACTTCATTAGATAATACTTTTAAAATTTTCATAATAATATGAAAACTATTATTATTTTTTTTTCTAAATATCTTCATGTTTTTCTTTTATGTCTGTGCTGTTAGTACCACTAGCTTCATATATTTTACTTTTTGCAGTTTCTATTAATTTAATTGAGTCTTACCTATTTTAATAAAAAGTTGTATTACGTATAATAACTTTTATGAGTGAGTAATACTTATAATAAATAATATTGCTCTAATAATTTTGTGATTCTCGATTCATTGATTCTTAAAATTCCTAAATATACTTCAAAAATGTATAAAGTCCTAAATATGTACTGTAAATGCAAAAATATGCAAAATAAAAATAACATTATTAGGTTATAAAATAAATATTGGTATAAACTAATTATCTTTTTGACTAACCAATTAAAATATTTAAATGCATAAAAGTGTCGAATAAGTAATAATATTTAATATTAAAAAAATACTTTTAAAACATAACAGTTATTATATTGTAATTTTTAGAATATGTTTTTAAATTTTGTGATTTGTACAACAATTGTACACTTCGGAATGTGTACAAAAATCATTGTACAAATTGCGAAATGTACAATTCCGGACTTTGTATGTAACATATATATATATATATATATATATATATATATATATATTTATCTAACATATACAATTTTTGTGTCACAACGAAAAATGTTTGTCATTAAATTCTTCCGAAACGGTTTGACCGATTTTCATGAAATTTTGTGTGTATATTCCGTAAGTCTGAGAGAGTGATTTAAACTATTTTTTCTTACTCTTAGGTGTAAAAGGTGGCTCTCCACAAATATTTTTATTATTGAACGGGAAAAATCATAACTATTTATTTTTTTTTGTTGGCAACTAAGGTTACTGCTTATGGTAAGTTTCCACATATTGACACTAATAACAGAATAGTTTAATTCTTTTTGTGTATGCAAACTGATTTAGTATAGTAATTAAGCACTCCAATGTTATCAATTAGTGTGTTTTTACAATAAATAATGCCAGTTAGACTTAAAGGGTCTGATTTGGCCCGTCAAACGTCTTAAACTATAGTCAATAGAGATAGAAGAGCACAAAGAATAGACGAACAAATTCAACAGGATAATGAAGATATGCGTGTGAACGTTGCGCGATTGCGTGAGGCATAAGCTTAACAAAATCAACAAAGATGGTAGGTATCTATTTTTCAAAGGGTTCATTGAATGGTTATTATACGTAGATGTAATATTTTTAGAAATCATAGTGTTTAACCTAAGCCCATTTTGAATTTAATTCACTCTGCGTACATCTGTTCCAATATGAATATCTATTAAGACTGTAAACGATGAGGGTCATTAATCATTATACATATATGGAAACAAATTGTTGTCAAAAAGTATTGTTTATAATTTGCCAACCGATTCTAAGATTTTGTCCATAAAATATTTGTTGGATTAATTGATAATTGATTATTATAGCTAGAACCACCACAAGGCGGCGAAATAACTATAGCATTCGAGTATGGGCCCGATATTAAATACTACATTCATTTGAAAGTGGAGATTGGTGCTATGGATAAGGAATGTCCGAATTGTAATGCGCTTAGGTTTAAAAATGAGCCAGCCGGTATGTGTTGCGCGTCGGGAAAAGTGCAACCGCCGGAAATTAAAACACCACCTGAACCATTGAACGGTTTACTTTATTACTTATCGGCACGGATCTAGGTTCTAACTTGTTCCTGAAGTCAATTCGAACATTCAATTCATGTTTCCAAATGACATCGTTTGGAACAACAGAAATAGTTAAAAATAATGCTCCAAATGGTCAAAAATTTAATTCAACAATCAAAATCAAAGGCAAAGTTTATCACAAAGTGAGCTCATTGCTACCAATTTCAAACGAACCACATACATTTTTACAAATTTCTTTTATGGGCGGGGAGGATTCCAAAAGTGCATTCGCCAAACGCGTGGATGCTCGTTGTAGCTACAATAACCTTAATTCATCTTTTGCTAAACGCATCGTCGGTGATCTGGACGCTTTATTGAATGAGCACAACGATTTGTTGAAATTATTCAAATCACACATGCACAAATTACAAAATTACAATCACGCTATTTGTATGGCAAAATAACGTTTGCCGGGTTAGCTATAGTATATATATATTATGTATATATATATATATATATATATATATATATATAAATAGTTATAAATATAAATAATTATGATATTTTAGTTTGGTACTTGTCAAATTTTAATATCATTTTATGATCCAGCTTAATTTGATCTGTTGTCTAGGATATTATACATCTTGTGTGTTATAATAGATTATTATACTAATATTTTACTATACCTAATCTATATAGGTACCTAATAAGTAATAGACTGGGTATATATTACTTATAGGTTGGGAAAATTGTGACAAAGGAATTTTGAATTTTGAATTAAAAACAAAATATAAATATTAAGTATAATATGTTTGCACTCAAAGAAATATATTTAATTCAATTGTACAACAAACATAAATTCACATTAATAATAATGTAATTCAATTAAATTGATTTATTACTTACCTACGTATATAACACTAAAAAGTAACACAGTATTTATCAAACAACTTTTTTGCTTTTAAACATTTGTCACAAAAAATAAATAATTATTAGAAATAATTCACTAGAATAGTTGTAAATTTTCGTTATAAGTGTAATAATGCTGAAATTATAATATAAGAATTTTATAGATATTATAATGAAATATCAAATCAAATAACTACATTTTTAATGAATATGAACCTTATGAACAACAATATTACATTTTTATGCTTTTTTTAAGACATTATTCCATAAGATTCATAAAAAAATAAAAAAGTCTTATCTAGAGAAACTGATTACCTCATCTCCCATTGTTACACGCTTCTGTAACGATGTCTCATTATGAAGAAAAATAATATATATATATATAAAAAAATGTGATGGAGCTAATCTCACTTCATAAATATAAGATAAGACAAGCACCAATTTTTTTTTTCTATAACTTGTTTAACACGTAACATAAAATATCGTTTATTTAATTATTTTCATGTTTATTTAGAAAATTTTTTATTATTTTGTAAGTAGTTTAAAGTATAAGATCTATATGTGAGTACCTAATTAAAATTATGTACAAAAATGTAGGTGTAATTTTTATAGATATAATGTATTAAATTCAAGTAACTACATTAAACAATATAATATAGGCATATATTTGAATATTTTAAAATATTTTTTATCGATCATTAAACTTAATATAAAATTTTAGTAAAAACACATAAAGCTATGTATTTTTAATACGTACCTATATAAGTATTTATATTATAGAGGTTAAAATTAATAGCATCGTGTAGCGATAAACTAAAATATATTGCATGGTCTAAAAATCATTTTTATTTTGAAAATATTTAACATTATTTCTTCTGCTTTCTTGAGAATTGAGATGTTATATTTTTGAGCTATATAGTAGATACCACAGACCACTGGATGTATTAATGTAGAATGTAGATAGTGTTTATTTAGATTTTTAGTTAATTAATATAGGTATTGAACTTATGCCTAGACAATAATAATTTTTATAGGTAGTAGCAAATAAGTGTAAAACTGGTATTAATTTCTATTTATACTATGTCATTGTAACGTGTTAATAATGAATCAAAATAATTAAAGAGGAATACCTAGGTACCTATTCTCTTAAAGGTTTTCTACTTTTCTTCTACTCTTTTTAGTTATTGGTGATCAGTGTTAGGACTTATCTAG